GACGATGAGCTGGAGAGCGGCGGACTCGATGAGGATATGAAGGACTGGAAGCAGACGGCCTCGGCCTTGAATGTACGCTGCAGATCTCTGGTGCGTCAACCAAATACGGTACGCCATAAGACCGGTCGTGAGGATGTTCAAGGCAACTGCAACAGAGTAGAACGTCTTGGTCCAATGGTCCAGCCGGGAGGTGAAGATAGAATCTGTCGGTTCTACCATGCTGTAAGTTGCACAGATGGTGTATCCCGCCACTGGATGTCATCCGGTCAGTCCTAAAAGACGGTTATGAAAGAGCTGTGAGCCCACCGCAGTTTACCACCCATAGAGCGGCAGGAAGAGCAATAACCTTCCAGTCCTTTCTCCACAAGATCCAGCATCTGTATATCTGGGGATGCATCACTAAAAATTAGATCGTCGAGACCGAAATAAATTTAGAGGCTTACCGCAGCCGCGCTACCGAGGACCTCTTGCGTACAAAAGAGGGTGGCTTTAAAGATGGTGTGCCATAGCCTTAAATTTCCGAGATATTCCGCGGGTCCCGGGGTGAAACGATGGTCAACGAAGGCCAGTAGGAGACGGACACAATTTATGGTGACGTGACCAGTTGCGATAACAAACATCGTGGCGGAGAACATGAACATCACCTATAGACACAGTTGAGTTTCACATTCCTTGAATGAACGGGCATCTTACATCGAGGAAACGGGCATGGGACGTCGTAAAGTGCATGTGCATTGTGGCGCAAAAGATGCAGAAAAACGCCCCTGCAGGTCTGTCGTAGATCACGAGCAAAAGGGGCTGAAGAGATATCACAAACCGTATACCAGTGCCTGACGGACAGCAAGATTCAAGTCAGTGATATGATGGAAGCTTAGAGGCGAGGTCATACCTCCAGCCAGGTCGCGACGAGGAACGTTTTGTCCAGCGAGAGTTGGGCCATGCTGAAGCACAGGAGGGAGTAAGAGTCGGACTCGAAGGTGCTCAGAAGGTGCTCAGAAAAATCGTGTCTTCGTGAGAAGCGCCAATCCTCCAAGTGCTAGATATATACCTTACCCTGATTAGGCCGCTGATGCCCACCCAGCGCTGGGGGTATTCTTAATCGCCTCCTTTAAATTGGGCTCACATGCGCTGCCAACTGTGGGCTCCCTACTGCGTGTTCGGGCTTGATTCCAATGTCGTTAATCACTCCAGGTTAACGCGCCTATTAGATAGTAGGCATGCCCATCACATCATTGTTACAAGTACGACGCAGGAAGCACGCGTGTTTCCACAGTTCGATGTTTCTGAAGCTGCTAGTGATGTCAGGAGTCAGGACGAACTGTTGAGGCCATCAGCACGGGGGAGTCTCTCCCAAAACCAGTTTCCGGGGGGCACCGTTTCAGGCTGGGGCCATTTTCGACGACGTGGAGAAGCGCGTGTTCTACGGCAAGGTCCGCTAGGCTTCGTCGAGAGAGAAGAACTCCGTCGTCATTTTGGTGCCGCCGGGGACCACGGTAACTGGAGGCTTGACACAGATGCCCAAACATTCGAATCCGGAACACTGATCTCACGACTCACGGAGCTCCGCCTTCAATCTGCCTATAAGATGGTAAGAAGCTCTCTTTTCGAAGCGATTGAAAGTAAGATGCCTTGCGACGTACTCATGTCAGTGCCACATCTTTGATCGACGGTCCATTGAAAGCCGCGGAGATGTTTGTAGGCCTGCCAGACAAAAACTTTCGTGGACGCGATTTTGCCTTTTAAGTCGTATATTTCGTACATCTATCAGATATTTGGATTTAGTTCCTCAGTTCCATAAAGTTCCCTTTTCTCACCTAGACAGAACTCGTTGTCGTGGTGCGTTCCTACGGAGGACGTACGTCACCCGGAATCAAAACCCACTACAATACTTCTGACGTAGCGGGAATACCCGCCCAATCTAATCGCGTTGTTCCCGCCAAGCACTTTTTTAATACTTATTCGAGCGTTTCGAATCCCGCAAGCAGGACGAGAACAACGCTGAACATCAAACAACGGCACACTGTCTCAGCCTCCTAGACCACCTCCTGGACCCAACACCCCCAAAATCCAATAAGAAAAAATCACATATCGATATCACATACAAATCAAATCCGCGATGGCATACATACAGTAAACACTAAACAGTATATCGAGGCCGAAAGAGTAAGTAAACACGAAAAAGAACAAAAATCAGACATGGTAGTATATGTATATGGTAGTTGACTGTCATGGTTATAGCTATAGGCGTGCGTCTGGGGCTCGGGGGCATAGGTCTTAGATACGAGCACGCGGGGGGTGTAATTTATATATACGGGTGTGGTGTGGTGTTGGTATGGTGTGGTGAGATGGAGCAGTGAGGATGAGGAGACATGGATGGATGGGTGGGGGATGGGGGGCGATGCAAGAAAATGAGGCTGATATCGAGTCGAGTGTGCGTGTATGGGATGGGATGGGGTGTGGGGGAAGTGGGGGTATGTGCATGGTTCTGTTATATTGCGTATTTTGTTCCGGGCTTGAGACGAGTCGAGACGAGGCGAGGCGAGGCGGGGCGGGGCTTGAGACGAAAAGCGGAGCAGCAGAAGTGGGGTGTGTGGAGGGGCCCCCACTACCGTATCAACTTCCCCCAATCCAACCTACTCTCCCCCCCGCCCCCGCCCCTCTGTCCCCCCGCCCCACTTCCCCCCGTCCCGCCCCCTCCCCCACTTGACCCCCCTGACCCCCCGCTCCCACCGCCCCTCTCAAAAGCATTCCAGAACCTCAACGTCTCGTCCCCCGCGCCCGTGACAATCGTCTCCCCTTCCGGGCTCATCGCAAGGTACAGCACGCGGTTAGTGTGGCCTGTCAGGGAAGCGACCATGTCCAGAGAGGGATACTTCCATATACATATTTGGTTTTGGGCTGTGGTGCTCGAGAAGCCGTGTGTCGAGACTAGTTCGTGGGATGTTAGGGACCATATTAGGTTGCAGACCTGTTGTGAGAGAAGGTAGGTGAGTAATTGGTTGGGGAAGATAGGGGGATAGACGAAATGAGGGACGCAGATGGCAAAGGGAAGGAAGAGAGAGAGCGAAAGAGAGCACAGGAGAAGAACCAAGAACCCACCTGACTCCCCGTATCCAGCTCATTCAACATACTCCCCACCCCTGTATTCCAAAACCTAATATGCTTATCCTGCGTTCCTCCCCCTGTCGCAAGAACCCCACTAACATGCGGGTCCCACGCAAGTGCCTTCACCGCCGCCGTATGCTCATGAAATTTCCATAGCGGCGCATCGTCCTCTCCTCCCGCTGCTCGGGCGGACGGGGCGGTGTTTGAGGAAGTGGAAGGGGCGGACGAAGAGGAGGAAGCGCGCCGTGAGCCGCGCAGGTCCCATATGCAGACCTTGTTGTCGTTCCCCCCAGACGCGAGCGCCGCGCCGCCGCCGCCCCAGCCAGAATTCGCTTCAGCCCCGCCTACTTGACCCCCGGGCGGCCCTGTCCCTCCCCCTTCTGTCCCTTGCCCACTCGCCGGTGCAGAACCCCCACCCCCAACCACACCCCCTATCCCCCTCCCGCCCCCTCCAGCATTACTCCACTTGAGCCCGCACACCTCCTGTCTATGCCCGCTACACCTCCTCCACGGTCTCGTCCCGGGTTCCCTCACGTCTCTGTGGTGCACGCTCCGATCCCTGGAGCCGGAAGAGAGGACGTGCGCGTTCCATGCGAGGGCGCCGATGCGTTGGGTGTGTGCTGAAGTGTATGTGCGTAGGAGGGCGAGAGTGGAGGCGTCGTAGATGTGGAGGTGGCCGGAGAGGGTGCCGACTGCTAGGGTCGTTCCCTGTAAGATAGGGTGGGTGTTAGTATGGTGGGAAAGGGGGAGGAGGGAGAAAACGAACCTTCTGCACCCAAGAAACAGAACTAACAGTATCCCCGCCCTCAACAAGATCGCACAACTTGCTCACAGCCGCATTATGCGCCGTCCAGAGGTACACACAACTCCCAAGCCCCACACCTAGTACATTCGTACTACTCCAGTCCACGAGATTCAAGTAAAAGTCATCCGCCAAATCCGGTGCGTCCAGGACTCTGTAGGGTGTCTTACACACAGAGCGGAGGTGTCTCCGCGGGGAGGAGAGGAGGGCCTGCGAGGCGGGGCGGATGGGGGAGAGGGAGTAAAAGGGGGAGGCGGGGGTGGCGAGGTCTGGGCGCGTTGGGGTGGAGGGGTGGGAACGCGAGGAAGGGCCGTAATCGAAGAGGCGCCGGCGCGTGGGTGTTGAAGGGGGCAGGGCGGAGGTGGAGGTTGATGCTGGGGGAGCGGGACGCACAGGGGATGCGGAGCGCACGGGGGAGGGTGGCGTCACTTCGGAGTGCAGGATGGAGGTGAATATCGCGTTGGCTTGTTCTGTGGTCAAATTATAAGTTTGTGATAGAAGAAAGAAAGAAATAGGAGGGAAAAGGCACCTTTGAGGGCGTCGCTCTCTGTGGGGATAATGCGGTTCTTGGAGGGCGTAGAAGGCCCGCTCTCGTCGAGGAGGTGGTACGATGTGCGCATGTCCCCCGCGTCGCGCGAGGGAACGAAGCGGTCCCCATAATCCCTACCCAATCTCGGCGTTAGACCGCCGCCTCCCGAGCCTAGTCCATCCACGGGTGACTCCGGTTGCGCTGAAGAGCTGCTACTAGCACCAATACGGGAGTCAAGCGAGGGCGTGCTCGCGAAGATGGGGTTTACGCGCGGACGTTGGCGACGCGGGGAGGAGGAGGATGAGGAAGTGGCGGAGTTTGTGTCGTCGTGCTCTTGTTGGGCGGCGCGTAGGCGCTTGCCGAAGGGAGAGTTCTTGAGGTTGGACATGGAAAAGCAGTTAGACTCAGAGCATCGACAGAGTGGCAAAACGAAACAAAGATGATCAACCAAACCACACCATAGGGTTACTAATCCAATTTGGCGACGCGTGTGACACGTGCCTCCGTGCGAATTATGTGGAATTTGAAGAAAGAAAAAAACTACAGCCCCGAAAACATGGCAATTGGACACACCCGGAATTGAACCGGGGACCGCCCGCAGATGCAAATACCCGGCCTGATGCTAAGCGGGCGTGATAACCAACTACACCATGTGCCCATGAAAAGACGTCCCACCACCTATCTCGCAGTCAATCGGCAAGTTTGAGCAGTGTCCATGTTCTTATCCCTTTTCATGAATCATCATTGACTGTCACCAAGCCCATATTTTACGCAACACAGAAGCCGTTAATTTGCTATTGCTGAGACGAGACAATGCACAGGCTGCTCTAGGCAACAGCCACAATCGAAGAGTGGTTTACTCAACCCCAGCCTGAGCTCGATGTCAGGACCTGCGCAGTTGGTCCGATGCTGTATAAAACTGTACTGTATAAAGACGATCCTCCGCCGATCCATCTCTCTAGTCTTCTCACATCCATTCCATAAAATTCGCCAAGCACGTCCACCTCTGCTAATCGGGGGTCTCGGATTTGTCTGAGGCGCCAGGATGGACGTTCTGCAACAGGACGACATCTGAAACTAGAGCTAGGAACGAAGGAGGGGGAATTGAATGGGAATGGGTAGAAGAGCAGACAGCGTTCCTTCATCCTTCTCTCTCGTGCCTCTTGCAATACGAAACCCGCCCCACCCACTACACGGCCTCGAGACTTGGAACGTTCCTTTGCACGCGTTTGAAAGACAGATTGTCTACGCTAGACGCGAAACCCACACTTGACGGCATGGGAATGGCATCCACAGCTTCTTCTCCATCCACACCGTTCAGAGGATCCGGAAGCTGCTTGCGATTCGTGCACCGTCTCGGTATGGGACATATACAGCAGGGCGATAAATCTGTCGCCATCGTATGCAGGGGTAGGGTCACGAATTTTCCTGAGGGACCAAGATGGTTATGTGCAGAAGCCCATGGCGTTGTCTGAGAAGTGGGAGGGGGATTAATGGCAGGCCTCGTCGACGGGGACGACTTGCGAAGCTATCTGGGGGCCCAGGACAGTGTGCAGACTCGGGGGCGTTATCCACCTTTGGGAAGAGACCCGAGAAGACATGGAAGTGGAGACGGCGGAGAGAGGAGGAAGAGGTGGGTAGTAAAAGGGAGGATATCCCGAGCACATACAGAGGCGTCAACCTCTCTGCCACCACGGATATTCATGTGTCCGTCGCCATTGATTCGTCTGAGAATCATCTTTGCCTCCTGGACTTTGGTGTGGATGCAGTTATGTGGTTCTCCATAGTCGGGCTTTAAAAGAGCGCAGGTGCTATGGATCGACGATCCTAGTGGTACCAGACCGAGAGGACAAGCTCGAGGAAGGCGCTTGGAGATGCCATGTTGTGCAAAGCCGAGCTCACACTTCCTGTTCGCTTTGTATCTGTGAGCTGCATCCCCGCGTGCAGTGGCTGTGGCACTTTTCCCTGGCACAACGGCTCAAATTCGTATTAGGCCGTGTAGAGATTGAGTTGTTGTACGAAGCCTACGTTGTTCCTGGCGGAGCAGAAGGTACTTATCCCCCGATATAGCAAACAACTGTCGGGGAAACCTTCAGCACCCACAGAGGGCGCCCACGAATTTTGAATGTCCAAATGAAGTGTTGTGCACCGGTTGAAAATAGCACGGCAAATCCCGCAGCTTTCTTTCTTTGTCTTCTTCCTCCGCCACCATTACAACTCGTCTTCTCAGTTCAAGTACTTCAGTGGTTACCCACGCATGCAGTGGCAGCGATACCTCGTGAGTCAGTGGTGAGGTCGTGCTGGCGCGTGTTACTTACATTGGAGACCAAATAGAAGTCTTGTATCTTTTGCGCCGCAGCCATCCTAAGTAGGGATGATTTGGAAGTCGACAGATGGTCATAAGTGCTTGTCCTCGTTGTTGCAGTAATGTGACACGAGGCAGCGCGACTCGATTGGGCATAGGGATAGAACAGTGAGACCGCTTATTGTTGTACAGCAAATCCCTTCTTCGTCTCCTCCGTCACCCATCTGGTCACCATCGAACGACGACCTCAACAACACGCCATGCCAACCTCGCATGGTGGCATCAACCTCCTGGCATCTACAGCATGGCCATATTAACACAAGCCTCCCCTGCAGGCCAGCGCAGCCAGCGGCCCTGTTGAACGAGATCATGCTCATCTAGTACCGATTGCCCGAGATGTGTATTGTTGGCAATCGCGGTGCAGGGTATTTGAAATGCCACAACTGTATATGGAGCTTTTAAGACCTTGATACCGAGAACAGTGGACATTGGACGAACAAGTGCACCCCTGGCAAATGCCTCCGCCCTCGAACTCGTGCGTTCACTGTTCATGAATACAACGGCCGCCCTGGCCATCGATGTATGCCACACGAGTGGCAGGTTTGAATTGTCTACAAGGCACTATATAAGCCTCTACTCTTACATGCTCTTCCAACCTCTCTGCTCAAGATTTCATGGGAGTAAGTCCCCTCCCCGTCCAGTCAACCCCAAGCAACAACTGACAACAACTCTCCAGCGCTCGAGCTTCATGTCTGACCCCATCTTCCCACAGGAGATCTTCGGGCTCATAATCGCAAGCATTGACACACGTGGCGCCCACGAATCCTTCGATCCCACTCTGCGCGCCTGCAGCCTCGTGTGCACCTCCTTCCGCGACCCCGCCCAGCGGCGCCTCTTCACCAGCATCACGCTCACGCTCCCCGACCCCCCAGACGAACACATCGCGCCCGTGAGCGTGCTCTGGCGCTCCTCGCCCCGCTTGTGCGGGTACATCGAGAATCTGGGCATCATGATATCCGCACCTGAGGAGTGCGAGCCCCTGCCCATCGCGCCCCTCCCGCGCCTCCGCGCGATCACGCTGTTCCCGTTCCGGTACTTGTTGGCCCCGGATGCCTTCTTGAAGTGGCAGGAGGTGCCGCCGGAGGTGAGGCGTGCGTTGTATGAGGTTATGTGGGGGCCGGGCGTGGAGAGCCTTAGGTTGGAGTGGGTGGAAGGATTCCCCGTCAATGCGATTGTCGCGTGCGGTGCGCTGAGGGAGCTGGAGTTGATAGACACTGAGTTCGCGGAGAAGGGGGATGACGTCATATCAGAGACGCCTAGAAGCGAGGGAGAGCCACAGGGGTGTATAGAGTTCATGGAAGTTTTCAACACGGTGGTGGAGCCGCTTTTCTTGTTTTCTTCCCCGAAAACTTTGATCTCGCTCGCTTCGCTTATAAGTCTCGAGTACTTGGTGAACGAACGTAACAGCTGCGAGGAATGCCAGACCATACTCGACCTCACTGCCCCATTCTTGACCGAGCTGCTTCTCGTGGTTGCCGAATGTACGTGACCCTTCCATTTCTCATCACACTCTTACTCACACTCTATACTCCCCAGCGTACATCAAAGACCTAACTCTCCCACACCCCAAGATCCTGCGCCACATCAAATTCCTCCCCGAAAACCTCACCGATTTCCGTACCATCGCGCCCTTCCTCGAATCGCTCCCATCAGACACCCCCCTCGAAAAGTTCTGCATCAACGACTACAAAACCCCCGCAGGCCAGCGGCGGTACGACCTCGAGCGCATCGCGGAGTGGCATCGCATCGAGAGCACACTTATGCGCGCGGAGTGGCTGCCGTGCCTTGTGCAGATTGGCGTGCCCCATGCGCTTGATGAGGCGTCGGCCACGTTCGGTTTTGCGGTGCTCATGCCGAATATATCGTCGACACGCAGGATGGAGATGACGAACTTGAAGATGCCGAATCATGATCAATATTCGATCGTCGAATTTATGCCCCTTCCTGCGCCCCCGGTGATTGAAAGCGAAGAATCACCCCTACCTTTGCTCCAGGAGCCCAGAACTCCAGTGGAATAATAATCAAATGGTGTTATCGTGTATCGTTTCATACTTGGTTACATCCCTCACTTGTAAATATATATATATATTGGTAGAACTTATCACAATCTTTCACGTTATACTACTTATATCAATAACAGTCATAGGTGTATTTTTGAGTCTTGACCCCCAATTGCCATCCTTTTCAGACAACTCAAAGCTTGCTTGCGCTTCAAGAAAGCCTTAACTCGAATTCTTGAAAAGAGCCTGTGGCTATTTTGTGCCTTCGTGCCGTTCAACCCAAATGATGCCACTTTGATGCCACCTTTCTCAACGAAGTTTCCAAATCAGGCTCTTCTTCACGCCATAAGTACTTACATACCCACTTCCCATCCAGACATTGGTGTCCACAAACCTTCCATGTCCGCCGAACCCCGTTTCCCGCAGGAGATCATTGAGCTGGTCCTGGATGAACTTGAAGCCGTTTCCCAGACAGAGCATTCACTTGATACTCTTCTGGCCTGCAGCCTTGTGTCGTCGTCGCTCCGAGATATCGCACAAGCAAGACTCTTCCAATCCTTCATCATCCCCTACCCAGAACCTACTGATCTAAGGGGCAGAAATCGGAATTGTATTTCGGCCCTCACTCCCCGGCTTTGCGGTTTCATCAAGAGGCTGACTTTTGCTTTCGACACATTGGCAGTAGCAAGCGGCTTCCATATAGATCCCCACCGGTACCGTTTCGACGTCGACGTTCTCCCAACTATGCATTTTCCCAAGCTCGTTTACTTTAACATCAGAACTTCAAATTCCACTGGTCACAGGCTAACATGGCGTCTAATACCCCTGCATCTCCGGAAGCTCATATACTCCATGATGCAGTGGCCCACCATCCGCACTCTGGAAATTGATGGAATCATTGACTTTCCGGCACCAGCTGTTTCGCATTGCCGCCAACTTCGATCATTCATCGCCAATTCCACCCAATTCACAGCTCGTGACGTGACATGCCCGGCTATCTCCACCACATCTGCGAGCCCAACATGTAACCAGGGATACCTCGAGTCATTCAGTTACAGACAGTATATGCCACTCAGACGTCTCATTGAAGCTCTCTGTGACCCGACATCGTCATTGTCTCTCAACCGCATTAAGAAGCTTCAAGTCGAAGTTTATTTTAGAGAACCTAGTAGTACCCACGCTGATTGCGAGTCCCTTCTCGACCTCACACTTTCATATCTCGAGGAGCTCGCACTTCGATTCGAGCTCTGGTCTAGTATGCGAATTCCGTTTGCCCATCTATACTAAGCTAAT